ATTATGCATTTCACAGCTACATATACATTCAAATCAAAATCAAAAGTATTCAGAAGTTTTTCATTATCTGAATCAATTGCAACTGCTCATTTTTATTTTAAAATAAGTTGATTCAGATGTGATAATGATCATGGATACATCTCAAATAAGAATAAAGGTTCTTTTAAAAAAGAATCAAGTTTAATTTACTATTCATCACACATTGAACAAAACAATGTAGTGGAACAAATGAATAGTACTACTACTGAAAAAGGATGCAGTATGCTATTTGATTCAAAATTAGACAAAACCTTTTAGATTGAAGCAGTTTTAACTGCAATATATTTAATTAGACTCAAAAAAAATGTTAAAAGATAAAGTTCTGCAGAATTATGGTATGATGAACAGCCAAATCTTAAGAAACTGTGTGTGTTTGGATTATTGTCTACTTCCATATGACAAATGCACTTATTGATGGAAAGTTTGAGCCAAGCACTAAGAAATGTATAATGATTGGATACTGTGTAATTGATTATCAACTATGGTTGCAAAAGATAAAAAGACTATTTTTGCAAGAAATTTTAATTCTGATGAAGTTAAATGCTTGATATCAACATAAGTAGAAAACAAACAAACAAACTGGAATACTGATGACAGGAATGACTTAGGTCAGCAATAGCGAACTAATGTACAATAATTTAATACTTTCTAAACATTCAGTGTGAATGTTTAGAAAATATTAAGTTTTTATAAATTACAAAAATATTTGACAGATTTCAAAATTTTTCATATGTAATGTGAAAGCAGAGTCAAAGTCATTGCAAAAAGTCTTAAAATTCACTAATTACAAACATAAGATAGGAAAATTATCAAATAAACAACATTAGATTTTTTATGAAACATTGTTTCTGTTAGAATCACATTATTATTTTCTTTGAACTTATCTAGAGTTTATTGTTATTTTCCTGATACAGATTGAAAAGTTAAATAAAGTAAAATTTACATACAAATATGTCTCACTAACCTTGTATAGCTTTGCAGGTAATACTTAGAACGTATCACTAATGTTTTTGACCCATTTCTAGGGTCCAAAGCTATACAAAGTTAATGAGACATATTTGTATTATTGCTTTGTTCACTAGATGGATTTTGTTTTATAAGTAATTCCTTTTACTGTTTTAACTACTCAAATGAAATATTTGACACACAATTTAGAGTCACTAAATTTTGGATTCAATTTTGATCCACCTTTAGAAAAAGTTTTGCCATTGCTGACTTAGGTGATCCAAATTAAGATAAAAGCAATATTTTCAACAATGCTATACCTCAGAAATTAATGAGATAATGTTTGGAAAGATGTTGAAGAGGAAGAGATGGACTAAAATGGCCAAAGACAATCAAACAAGTATATTTTTGTATATAAATTTAGCACTAGATCAACATATTTAAAAGATTACAGTATTCTAGCTTTAAATGCAGAAAAATTTATCAAGGCTATTCCAGAAGTATATGACAAAATAGGAAAGAGAGAGTCAGTTTTCTACATTTTTGAGGACAGTCAGTAATATTCATCTATTCTTTTGAAAAAGTGGAAACATTGCCATTGAAATCAAATAGATGTAAAGTATAATTTTGTTAGAGATTTAAACAACAAGCAATTATTTATTGTAACATTGTCACAATGCCAGGCTGCAATTTTTAATCATATTTTTAACTTATTTAATTTAAAATATATGCTCTCTATCTCAAATTAGTCCTGTAGTGTCTTGCCCCTGTATATCATACTTTTCTGTTAGCAATGGATTCATGCCAGTCATTTATCTAATTCCTTTCAAGAAAAATTTTTTAAATTGAAATAACATGACTTCTGTTTTGGATCAGAAATTCATATATAGTTAATCATGCCTCCTGCCCCTAAGCTTTCCATATCTGGTCTTGAATTTCATTTATCTAACACAGTTCTTGAGATTAAGGAAAGACAGACATTTATAGACCTACAATTTTTTCAAATTGCAGTCCAAAAATATGAATTACATGAAATACTTATTGTCAAAAAAGCAGAGGTAGTTATTCTGACAAAAAACAATAAACAGGAATTAATTCATTAAATTATGCTCTTGTTTAGGAATGCATCAGTTTTAAATTATACTTCATTACAGATTAAAGCACTCTGCTCTAAAGTCCATACTCTATTTTTTTTTGTCAATTATTTCATGCAGTTGTGAAAAGCAAAAATGGTCAATACTCCAATCACTCAATCTATTCAATAATTCTTATTTTAGTAATGAAAAGTCTTGCTACCATGAATGCCCTTTCTGATTCAATTGATATGAGTGGAATCGCGTTTAATGCATTTAAGAGAAGACAAATATTATGTGTTTTTCACCTGTATCCTGAAAGATTTCTAGTTCATTTTCAAGATTGTAGTACTTCTTTTGTTCTCTAGTATTCTTGATTTGTCTACCTCGACTGCTTTAATAGAAACATCATAGCCCAATAATTCGGCATTTCGTTTGTCTTTAATAATCAGGTTATGAAGAAAAACTTCATACTTGCAGACTTCATACTCGTTTGTATCCTTGCCCATTTGCACAACTTGGCATTATGCAGTTATTGAAGGTACTGGGCATGGTTAAAAATTAAGACAGCATAAGCACAATTATTCCAGATATTACAGGTAAAGAATTTTGAGAGTCCTGCCACAAATAAGCAATGTATTTGATTATTGACCATTTGTGACATGCCATAACAAGCAAAAATTAAAAAAACTAATAAGTAGGTTTAAAATTAATAAATACAAATGTATTCTGACAGTTTATGAGTTAATTATAATTTCTATTTGCAAAATTTCCTCAACCTTAACATAAAATAAGAAAAAAGTGAATTTTTAAGAAATTTGCGGGATTTCCTGGGTTAACAACCGGGATCCTGTTTGAGAAACCCACTGCTGATTATATAAGTGAGATTTTACAATCAATGTGTGATGAGTGGGAAATCAAGAAACATCAGGTTATGGCTGTTGTTACCAACAACAGTGCCAATGTTTCCAAAGCTGTGAAGGATTTATTTGGGAGAAACAAACACTTAGGCTGTTTTGTGCACACCTTAAACTTAGTTGCTGAAAAGGCAGTGGAAGAAACAAAGGATTTAGATGCTCTAATTTTAGAGGTTAAAGATATTGTAAAGTATTTTAAACATTCATTTGCAGCATCAGACAAATTGAAAAGCATTCAGGCTCAAAATAAATTGAAGAAAATAAACTTGAAACACTCTGTGCCAGCACGCTGGAACTCTACTTTAGAGATGTTTGCAAGATTTGTAGAACTAAGCCATGATGTAAGTGCAGTATTACTAAGTTTTCACAGTGCACCTCGTATGATTTCTGCATACAATCTTCAAGTACTAAGAGAAGTGATCAATATTTTGAAACCATTTGATCAGCTAATGAAACAGATTTCAGGTGAAAAATATATTACAGTCAGTTCTATACTGCCAATGATAAGCTGTATGACCAAAGCCACAGCTGCCAGAACTCCTATGGAAACAGTAGGGAAAAATTTTTAGGTTGCCATGATAAATTCCTTGGCACACTATTTTAAGGATGCTGAAAGCAACCACTTGCTAGCTATTTCTACAATACTTGATCCATGATTTAAAAGGCTGCATTTTGATTTGCCATCAGCTTGTTCACAGGCAATATCTCACATCAATGAGACTCTAAAAGATATTGAGAGAACAAGTAATGAAGGGATGAGCATCAGTTACAAGATAGGACAGTACAGACTGCTAACAGTGACGATATCTGGAGCTTCCACACCTGTCTAGCTGCAAAGCAGACAGGCACTGAAACACAGAGACTCAGCTGGCTTCGTTACAGAGTTAAAACATTACCCTAAATCAAAATTTAATAGACTGTAAATGCTGTCCCTTAAAAGAATGAGAACATTTGTCTGCCATATTCCCAAATATGAAGAAGCTATCAGACCAATGTTACTGTATCCCAGGAAGCTCTGTTCCATCAGAAAGATTGTTTTCTAAAGTGGGTCTCATTATGACATCAAGATGACATAGGCTCGCCAGCTCAATCCGTGCAAAGATAACATTTTTATCTTTCCTTTCCGAAAAATGGTTTGTTATGATGTACTAAGTTAGTAGGCTATATAACATAGAGTTTGGAACATATTGAGTAAGATCATAAAAATAATAAACAAACAAACAAGTTATATATTGCATTTGCATGTGTAGTGGTATTTTCTGAGTTCATTATTATTATTATTTTTTTGTACAGCTTTCAAATCTAAAGTGCAGGTTTTGGGGTTTAGTGAATTACAGTATTGATGGGTTGGATTCCCACACTGTTAAACATAAAAGTGAGGAAATGTTATGTAGGTTCCTTTACACAAAAATTTAACTTAAGTACTTTAATAAGATTCCCTTCCCTGTTATGATTTTTGAACCTGCAAAGCAAAATTTAACCCTAGTAGTCAAAATTCCCATCTTAGTCCAATATTTCCTGATATATCAACATTTTGTGATGCTATTAGATAATATCATTATCAGCTTTGTGGGTTTTCAATATATCAATATTTTACAAAACTCATCCCATCACTACTGAATAGTACTTGTATTTTCCTCAACATTATAACAAAACATTAGGCAAAGACAAGACTTAATTTTGAATTTATTTATTATAAAGCAAGTTTAAAATAATTATTTTAAACTTGCTTTATAATAAATATTATCTTATAAATATTATATTATCTTCTGAAAATCTTTTAAAATGTTCATAAATAAATTGTAATTAAAAGAATTTTATAACTTTTTCTGTATGCATGCCTTTTTCAGCATATTCAATTTTTATGCAAAAAAACAGAAAAATTCAGTCTATTTACAAGAGTATGTATTTAAATTAAAGCAGTAAATAAGAAAACACAGAGTTTATGTAAATTATCATTCTCATAGATTAAAAAAAAACACACACACACAAAAATTTTGAAATCATCTAAAAATTTCATACATACTTTTGTTTTGAATGGTTCAGACATAATTTTTAAATTTTTATGATCTTCAACAAATTTTTCTATAAGGTCAAAATTATTTTTGTCAATTTTATTGTGCTTATGTAGTAATGACAGCATTGTTGACATTGTATATACACTGTAAAAAAAATGTTATTTGATTCACATATAAATGACTTATAATTCACATTTAAAAATAATACATTAATAAAAAGAACATAAATCTGAAGAAAATTAAAACAAGCTAAAATATTTGTGTAATAAACTCTGACTTTTTAAGATAAAATAATTAAGAAGTGTATAAATTCACATTTTAAAATTAGTATTAATTTCACAGGACAATTTTTTTAGACAATAATTATGTAAACCTTTTCATAACATACCTGTGCAATTTAATTCTTTCCTGCTCAAGATTTTTCTTTCCACCTTGTTCTCGGTCAAGTAATACAATACAATCGCTAATTTCTAAACCAACAGATCTGAGTATCTATATATGTTGAACAAATATATAAAAATTTCTCTCATGTTTTATTTTTGTTAAAGCTTCAAATAACTTACATTTGCAGTTTCTACAACACTGCTTCCACTAGTAACAACATCCTCAATGATAAGACATTTTTGTCTCGCTTTATAATTTCCTTCAATCAATTGTTTTGTCCCATAAGATTTATTTTCTTTTCTTCTCAGTACCATTGGAACATTTTTATTGATAGAAATACACTACATAAACAAAATGTTAAAATAATTATTTATAAGAAACCATTTTCAACTGTAAGTAAAATGGTAGTAAAAAACAATTAATTACAAAATTACTAAGTTGTGTATTTTTCAGTAAATTTTATATTTGATAAACTTAAAATAATTACTTCTGGAAATTTTTTATAAAATCAATGTCTAGAGATTATAGTAATAGCAAGATATGAAAGAAGGATTTATGATTTTATCAGAAATAATACGATTAAAAAATCAGAAACTAAAAAAATTATATAGAAAATGCAAATATGAAGTTTATAGGAGAAGAAAACACATACATTTATAAAGTACTTCAATGCAAAGTGCCTTAAAGCAAAGTACACTTGTATTAAATATAATTACTGTAATTCATCTGATAATTAATCATTATAGTTTTTATTCTATAAATTTCCTAGCATATGATCTTATAACAATAACTGAATAAACATAATTTTGAATTAAACATCAGAATACATACTGTAGCAATTGGTAAGGCTGTATAAGGCACACCACATATTAAGTCTTGGGAGATTTTTGTTTCTTCTATTTTTTGCCACATAACATCTGCAACATTTTTCTAACAATAAAATAATTTATAAACGTTAAAAATCAAATATTTTGCTTTATTTGATGTAATTTTTTAAACATTACAATAAAATAAAATAAAAGACCAGAAACTATAGTTACTTGAAGAATGATTATTAATCCATTCTTCAAAGATACTATACTTTTTTGTTTTCAAATCACTAATTCTAATCAATTTAAAATTCTAATATATGTTAAAATAAGCACTAACACCAAAATCCAGCAAGGATAAAGATACTGTATTAAGCAAAACAAATATTTTCAACTGTTTTTAAATGGTCATCATCAGATTTAATTAATTGAGTAAATTCAGGACCATTGATTAGGCCATGGAAACCATCCAACCTAAATGGAAATCCTTTTACTGCTCTATCCCCTATAAAAGCACAGACTAATGCATTTCAACTTATATGTACACAGCTGTTATGTATAATAATGTTCCTTTTTTAAAAAATATCTATTTCAATTGTGATATCCATTCAAATTTACTCAATTATACCTGATGATGACCATTTAAATCAGTTGAAAACATGTTTTGCTTATTAAAGTATCTTTAATGCCAAAATCCAACAAGGAGGGTTTCCAATAGAGATTCTATATAATTGAACATAGTGTGTTTATTTGAACAGCATCCAGTTACAAGTTATTTATCTCTAATATACTCTATGTTATAAATATTATGAAATAAGCCTTAAAAATGCCTTGGTTAAAATTTTTTTATGATACAGTAGAACCTCCATTATCCGGACCTCCATTATCCGGATTTTCGATTATCCGGATTGTTCAAAATAAACAAAAAGTTTACGAATTTGCTGATTTGCAATTGGCGAATTACGACAGTTTATGTACGTGATGGAAAGCATAACTTTTTTGTTTCAACAACGCCTCATCCAGCACAGTGGTCGTAAACTCTTAAATATATTTTACGTAGTAATAAAAATATAATTTGACATACGTATTTATAAATAATTTATATTCAAATTATATCATTTCTATGACCAAGGGCGGCGTAAGGCATGGATGACGTGGGCCACCGCCTATGCCTCGCGGTTCGAAGGGCCTCGCGCCTCGAAGGTTTACGCATTACTTAAAAGCCGCGAACGCGACGAAAAAATTTTACTCGTCATAAAATGATAAATTGTTTGTCAAATTTTTATTCATAAAAATGCAGTATCAACTGCATTTTATTTTATAAAATCCGTCTTCTTGCGCCACCAGAGGGCCTTTTAAACAATAGGTAGTCTGTTAGCGTTGGTCAGTAGTAGTCCAAATGCAATACG